ACCCTGCCATAGCCCCCCTCCCTCCACTAGAGCCCTTATACTCTGATATCCCTACTACTGTCTGCTGTGTTATCAGCACCCCAGTCATTCCCTACTACTTGCCCTTCTGGTGAATCTAGTCAGCCTATCTAGAGGTATTTCTTTTAGGAGGGTCAGCTGTTCCTCATCTAGTGGTAATCAGTTGTCAATATTCCTTTGAATAAGATTGGGGTCTGCTGTTCATTTTCCCAGTTCTCTGCTGGGTTACTATCTGGGAATCCCTTTGGCCACCCTGGCCAAGAACTCAAAAGAAGGTATTGCCTGTCTGGCATTGTTGCTTGTTATGTAGCCTTTAGCTACACATACAGACTCTTATGAAATTATATTGGCCCCTTTAATCTTTGGTTATGCTTTCCTTTTGGGTGTTTAAGGCCATACAGTTGGACCAGATAAACCAATTTATTTTTTACTCTTAAGGTCGTTTGAGGATCTGTTCCTCAGGGGTCACATGGGCTTGGGAGGAGCCCCTGGCTCCTTTCTTTTACCAGTTCCACCTACATGAAGATAAGTCAAATGTCCTGCTCAACCATGGTTGGCTTCACTTGGAACCATGGAGGAAATAATTCCTCTGTGTCAGCCCTTCTCTTTATAGACTAGACACTGGTTCATCTGGTGGGGTCTCCTCGGCCTCGTTGATCAAGAGGACAGATGACCCACCAACATTATAGAACATTTTGAGACATGCACATAGTCCCCAGGAACTAGTCAACCAAGGAGGGCTAGAGGCAAAAAGTGTCCTTTATGTCCCTCTAACAACATTATTATAGTCCTCAAAGTATGTCTGTTAAACACCCAAGAAGGTTAGTTCTACCAGGCTGGAGAAAATGATTCCTCTGTGGAGGAAATGATTCCTCTGTGTTGACCCTCCTCTTTATAGACTGGACACTGGTTCAAGATTAAAGGCATGCGCCAACACGCCCAGCTACATTTTTTAATTTTTAAAAACTGTTTCATTACTTTTATTTTATATGTATGAGTGTATTGCCTCCATATGTGTAAGTGCACCCATGTAGTACAATGCTTGCAGAGATCAGAAGATGTCATATTCACCGGAAATTACAGTTACAGATGGCTGTTAGGTGCCATGTGGGTGCTGGGACTCAAACCTGGATCCTCTATAAGAGCAGACAGCACTCTTAACCACTGAGCCATCACTGCAGCCCCCATTTTTAATTATTTAAAAAAAATATTTTATAATTTTTATTTTATGTGTATGAGTTTATTGCCTGCGTGGAGGTAAGTGCACCCATGTTGTGCAATGCCCGCAGAGGACAGGTGATGCCATCGGATCTGTTGGAACTGGAGTTATGGACAGTTGTTAGCTGCCATGTGGGTGCTAGGATTCGAACCCAGATCTTCTGCAAGAACAGTGTTCTTAACTGCTGAGCCATCTCTCCAGCCCCTCATTTTTAATTTTTAAGGAATTAATTTGTTTACTAATTTTATTTATTTGAGACAGAGTCTTTGTAGTCCTGGGTGACCTCAACTCCCTAGCAGACTGGCCTTAAACTCACAAATAAATCCATTCATCTCTGCCTCCTGATTGCTGGGATTAAAGGCATGTGCCACCATGCCTAACTTGAAAAGTTTTTTTAAAAGTGTGTGTGTGTGTGTGTGTGTGTGTGTATGTGAATGTAATATGTGATAATTTGATACTTTGATGCCATTTCTTGAGCATTTACTATGAACCGTAAGTATAGTCTCTCTTGAGTCTTTACTAACAACCTGAAGAGTTGCTCTAATCAGTTACCACATCCGTCTCAAAGATGAGTCTTAGAAAACGTGTAACTTTGCCTAGATCACTGTTTGTTAGAAGGTTTGGACCTTTCCTTTCTTATTTTTCCTTTTTCTTTCTTTCTGTTTTTAATGGGGTTTTGCTGTGTTGCCTAGGCTGGTCTCAAACTCCTCATTATACACTCTGTGTGTGAGAAAGAGAGAAAGATAAAGACTGTGTGTATGCACGTGTGTGTGCACGTGTGTGCATGTCCATAGAAACCAAAAGAGGAAACAGGATTCTCTGGAACTAGAGTTATAGGCGGTTCTCAGCCTCCTAGCGTGGGTGCTAAGAACCAAACTTGGGTTCTCTGGAAGAGAAGCAAGGATTCTTAATCACTGACCCATCTCTTAAGCCCTTTGGTTTGAATTTTAAGTATCATGCAAAGGTTCATTTGCTAGAGGCTTAGTTCTCAGCTGTGACACTGGGAGCCTTTGGAGATGGAGTTTATTAGAAGGAAGTTGGGCACATGGCCTTGACCGGGATATTGTGACTATGGCCCCTTCTCTGTGTTTGCTTCCTCACCACCATGAAGTAAGCAACTTTGCTTGTGATGTTTGCCAGAATGCTCCTCCTTTCCACAGGCTGAAAGGTACAGGGCCATTGACTAACATTTCTGAAACTCTCAGCCAAAATTAATCTTTCCTAAGTTGTTTATCTCTGGTACTTTGTCATAGAGACAGAAAGATGACTAATAGTCACATTGCTGTTCAGTGGTAGAAATAGAACTCAAAAGCATAATTCATGCTCCCATTTTATTTATTTTTCTTTTTTAAAAATATTTTATTTATTATTTTATGTGTATGAGTGTATTGCCTGCATGTATGTGAGTGCACCCGTGTCATGCAATGCCACAGAGGTCAGAAGAGGGCATGATTCCCGTGGAACTGGAGTTAAGGACAGTTCGTAGCCGCCATATGGGTGCTGGGAATTTAACCCAGGTCCTCTGCAAGAGCAGTCAGTGCTCTTAACCGCTGAGCCATCTCTCCAGCCCCTATTTATTTTTCTTATATTAATGATTTAACCCAGCGCCTCATGCATGCTAAGCAACAGCTCTGCCAATGAACTGTACTCAAAGCTTTTTCTCCCCCCTGTGGTTCTGGAGATTGAACCTAGATTCACACATGCTAGGCAAACACACAACCATTGAGCTTAATTCCCAGTAGCTCCCCTCCCCCCATCCACTTGGAATGCTAAATAGAGATCAGAGATCTAGGCGCCATATACAGGCATAGCAGTGAGCAACAACTCTGGTCCTCCCATTTTCAATATTGTTTTGAAATTTTTTTTCTGTGGTACTAGAGATTGAATCTAGAGCCTTCTGCATATTAGGCAAATGCTCTACCAATGAACTTTGTTTTTATTTTTTATTTTGAGATAGGAATCTGACTAAATTGCTCAGGCTGGCCTTGAATTCACTGTGCAGCTCAGATGGACTCGAACTTGTGATTTTCCTGTCTCAGCCTTCTGAATAGCTAGGATTAAAGGCCTGCTGTCAGGCTTGACATCTTAACATTTTTATTAATAATTTTTCTTCTTTTTGCTCTTCTTCTTCTTTTACTTTTCTTATTCTTCTTCCTCCTTCCTCTTTTCCTTCTCATTCCTCCTCTTCCTGTTTTTCTCCTCCTTCCTCCTTCCTGCTCCTTCTTCCTTCCTTCCTTCTTTTTTCTTTCTTCTGTGCTTGGTTGGAATCAAGCATGTCAGATAAGTACCTTAGGCATGCCAGATAAGCAGTCTACCACTGAGTCCCAG